AATTTCCAAAAAAAAAAAAAAAAAAAAAAATCACTGATATGCACAGCCCCATTTCTGATTGAAAGCATCTGTCTGTTGTGTCTATGAAAAGCACAACAAGACCATATTTTTATTACTAAATTGGTCCCCAAAATGTAAGCTGTTATATATTTATGAGAAAGAAAAGCTTGTTAAAGCCATGCTCACAGGGTTCTTTGTATCTAGAGTACCACTCTTTCCTAGAAGATCATTTCCTAGAAGTCTATCATGCTGTTCAGTAGATGTTACTTTTATAATGAAATGCATAAAGTATAATATCCATAGGACATGGTTCAGATATAACCACAAAACAGGCATTTAGGAATAGGTTTGTTTCTCTTTCAGGGTGTGTTTTCTTTATGATGTGAGCAATTTGACTCTTATAAATGCTAACAAAAGTCATGAAAATGCATCAAGAGAACAGACTCTTAGCTTTGCTTAAGAAAAGACCGTTAAAAGCAGCTGAGCCAAAGAATTAAGAAGAACCCAAATAAAATCAGCTTCTCTGCACCACAGGGTGCACTAGGAAAGCAAAATTCCTCCCTTCTTAGAGGGCCACCTTCAAGCCTTTGCACTGGTACAGTCACCTAGATAGGCCATATCCGGTCCTGTAAAGCATAGGAGTGTCTTCTGCAAATAATTAATTTTAACCCTATTTTATTTATTGTATTTAATTTTTTTAAAGAGAATGTTATAATCTCTCTCCCAAGTATATCCATTTGTACATCCCAAAGACCAGCCCTCAACCAGAGATAATACACTGACCTGCGCATCTTCAAATGTGTATCTTCCAGGGTCCTTCACATTCTGTGTAGTTTTGTCATAACTTTTTGAATCTAAATTGATGGCACTGGGAGCACCTGGAGCAAGAAACTCCTGCCAAATTTCCTGGACTCGAGCAGGAACTTCACGAATAGGTCTCTTCTTCAAATCTTCTACTGCCATCCAGAACCTATGGCAAGATACGGTAACTTGAACTCTACATTTAATTTCTTTCCTAGGTTTCAATTTAACCAGTATAAATTTCTCCCTTTTTAAATGTGCTTTAATAAACCAAAACCAACAACAAAGACTTCACACAAAAAATCCATACAATTACAAAATTGTAGCCAGGCATTTTATGTAAAAATTACATCATTTCTGTACAAGAATTGCCATGGTGATCTGGATGCCATAATGTCTTGAACAGAACTAGCTGCTTTATGAAAGATGCATATCTTTCATTTGGAAACAATGAAATAACTTGCCATATTTATCCCAGATAAATTACAGGTTTCCAATAGGAGGGAAATGTATTTTGCATCTAAACCTCTGATCTTTTGTTTCCCTAACACTGGTTAAAATTGGCTCCTGTTGTCCACACAAAATATCTAATCCTCTTTTTAGACTATTAGGCACAACTATATTTTGTGGCTATAAGTTCCACAGGTGAATTGTGAATTGCCCCCAAAAAAGATTTTATTTTATCTAATTCAATTCTGCTCTCTTTCATTTTCATTGACTCTGTCCGTGTGTTGCATTGTAAAAAAACAAAAACAAATAGAAGTGTCATTTCTCTCTTTGTCTACTATCCCAACAGATGCATGCAGCCATGCAAAGTTATGTGTAGAATCCCAGTAGTAGCAGTAGTAAAACAGCACTAAAAAGACTTTGCCAAACAGCATTCAGATCTATATTAGCAAATCAAGTTAAATAGTTTCACTTGTATAACAAAATTATTAGGGAAATACAATGAAAAGCTCATGACCTAACTTGGGAACCCTCTAAGAGACAATTCTGTTTAGACATGGTGCAGTGCACAAAGCTTGCACAGGTTTGTTCCCAGGAAGCACAGAACTTCCACCTATGCTGTAAGTCTTACTGTATTGGGGAAACCATTTATAACATAGCAGCGTTCCAATGTGGTTTCAACCAGGCTGATCCAATATGACATGTGAGCTGGGATTCTACTGTCCTAAAGCTTGGATTTTGCAGGGTTATAATATAATTTGAGATTATGGTTAAAAGTGCTTCCATTCTGTTTATGCCACAAGGATAAGCCAAATGTTCACTCTGTGTGTATGTGGGGGTGAGCAGGTAACTGTATAGTACTTGAGGAGCCCTAAGGAAGTACTCTGCATGCAGGCTGCAGGTCAAATTAGGTTGGTATACCAATTCTTAAACAGGTGGCAATGTAAAGCAAAACAAACAAAATATCACCTCACAGAACTTCACATTGGCTGGTTTACCACCTGGAAAGAAATGAGTGATTTCTCACAAAACTTGCTTACTTGGAAAAAAAAAAGTGTTAAAGATTGCCTCTTTTCTAAGCTGGTCACACTTACTTAGTAGCAGGGGAGGAGAGAACCCTGGTCCCTTTCCCAGACTCCTGCTCTGCCACTGTCAACTTGCTTTCCCCTAAAGAGAGCTAGAGGCACCTAGGGTACTTAGTGTTTTAATTTCTCATTACTAAGCAGTAGGGCTGTGCGACGCTTTGGTCACTGATTCGATTTGGCAGAGATTCGGCAGCTGAATCTCTGAATCTGAATCAAATCAAGAGACCCATTAATCTCTCCAAATCAAACTGGAAGCCTCTGAATCGATTCAGAGAGATTCGATGATTCAGAACACAGCTTTAAAGGTTTTTTCTACATACATCAAGGCACCAGGTGGCTCATGAATGCTGCAATGGTGAAATGATTCTCCAAATCATCATCAAATCTTCAGATTCGGATTTGGCAGAATCGAATTGGGACAGTGATCGAAATCAACAAATCAAATCCCTGCCCCAAATTCAGGCTGAATCTCAATCGAATACAGCTCGTTTCACACACCCCTACTAAGCAGCCACAACTGTTAGTCCCACTTTGTTGATATTGCTATGTTAAGTGCCTATAACAGTATTTCAGTTACAGGAATACTGAAACACCTCTCAGTAGTTTAACATACTGTTCCCACACAGCTCCCAAGTGGGGTAGACAAGTATTATATCCATTATTATATCTCTGTATGTGTATTATTAAATGGTTATATTATATAATAGTATATGATATTTTATACTATTATATATTGTTTGGATTATTAGATTATTATATAGTATTGTATCTCCATATCTGTAGAACAAGATGTTAAAGCTAAGTCTCTAACATCCCAGGCTAGTTCTAGGCACTCAACCATTCTTCTTTCTAGAGTATTCAGGGTCTTATTACATTTTATTTGCATATCTGAATGCAATGAAGCTAGAGCAATGTACTGATTTTACTTAAGCAGAAATACTTTACAGCATGCAAACTCTAATTCACTGAACCCAGGAGAATTTGGGCAACTATTTTTTAAGTTGCTTGTGATATTTACATTTAATAGGTACATCCTGCAGTGCCATCCCCTTCATATGCAACTTCATAGTTTAGCTGATTATTCATGTGTATAGAAGACAGATAAAGAAACAGGTTAAGACAGACATCCTCTGTCTTCCCACAGACATCCTGAGGGTTTAGCCTAGGGTGGCTGTCTTCATGATTGCTCCTGTAGACCACCAGCAGTGTGTCTGAGAGTCCTCCCAAATAAGCTCCAGGATACATTTTCTTTTTAGAGTAAATTATTGCCTTAGGCTACTATTTAGATAATAATGGCAAAATAGATAAAAGATAAACTGATTTAATTGTGAGAATCTTGTGGTTTCCAGTTTAGAAAAGGTAAGCAATACAGTCACATCTTTAACTAGATAAGCACAATCTCTTGCCTGGAAAACACATTTTATTTTACATTTCTAGCATTACCATTCCCCAAACCCCCACAGAAATGGTGAAGCTTTAATTATAGCAACCTCTTTTAAACATGAAAAAATGCTGATATCTGCAACATTTTATATCTAGGGAAACTGCTTCACAGTAGACATTCTTACACTTTAATCTATTTAGCTTTGAAAACAAAATGTATGCCCTCCTCCCAAAAACACTCAAAAGTTAGGAAATGGCAGCAATCAGGCTGCCTCTCTTGTGCATTTGAGTTATGATAATTTTGCCAAATGAGACATGGGAAGTCAATTGCACAGCCAAGACTAGAGACTATATCTCCAGGGACCTAGTGTAGTGCCAAACAACACAGAATCTCCTTTCTCTTCCTACAGTAATCTGCCTCATTCATTGTGCATTCCCTGTACTGAGTGAAGGAAGGATCTAGCAGAAAAAATAGTATGCAATCTCATAAAATTTCTACTGCATATACACAGGCGGGACAGATTAAGGTGGCCTAGGTGGTGACGTGTACAGCTCATGCATGTCTGAAACCCTAGCTCTAGACCTGTCATGCTGGAAAGCATGTGGGGATGGAGCATTCTTATGCAATTTGGCCTGTCTCAGGGATCTGGAGGGAGGATGAAATCTTCAGAGAAGGAAGTTCCTAACGGTTGGGACAGAACATTTGCCCTTTCAGAGGTTTGCAACTCTGTCAAAGCAAAGCAGAATTTCATGAGAACAGAAAGAAAGATGATCCCCTGACTCCTAACACCTAGGACCCTTGCCAAAAGCCAGTCATACTGCAAAACGTGGAGCCAGAAGTGTAACAACACAGTCCAACACCCGGGGCACCTGCAACACAAAGGGGCAGCAGCAACATCTGGTTGCCGCCATGTCAAAGGTATGATCTGCTGCCATGGTCACTTTGCCCTAGTCATGCTACTGCATGGAGCTGCTAAAGTTCTTCAATGAAATAGTTTGGGGTAGAGGGAATTAACATATCAGTGTAATCCCTGATTTGATTTTCAGAAATACGTGAACACTTTTCACTAAAGCTGCCCAATGATCCAGTCTCAGGCCCAAGCAAATATGAAAAAAATGCAGTCTAAGGGGCTGAAGCTTAGCAAAACTGTTTGTAACTGAAAACAGGGTAGGTAGGTGTTGCTATAATAGACAGCATAGGTAGCTGTTGCTACCTGCTTTGTTTCTTAGGGTTGTCATAATGGAGGCACAAATAATTAAGGAAAGTTACTCTTCTCCAATGTCTGTTAACTGCAGAACTAGCCTCCCATTGGCATTTCAGCTAAATACACTCTGCATTTAAAAATCATCAGTAGCAATGACTGATTCTTTCCTTTTCTTGCATCAAGCTTCACCTTTGTTTTTTTGCTACTATTTATCAACAGTCTCCTACACCATTCCTTATTTGCACAAATCACAGTATTTTATTATGGTATAATTAAACCTCAAAAAACCCGCCTTGGATAAAGTAAAGAAAAACATGAGCTTTCAGGCATAAAGTCGGAATGATCTATAGCCCACACCATTCTGCAGCATACAAATTAATGGTGTGTGCATATTCACTATATTTCTTTGATTGGATGTAATTTGAATACTGTATCCCTTGTGTCATTTATTTTTATGGTTACTAGAGCTGTAAGCACCACAACAAACCTCTAGTGTACATTGGGCCATCCAAGGAAAACTGGTTCAGAATAAGAATTTCATATCTGACTATCCTCTACTCCTTATCCCCAAGTTCCAAACAGCCAGGACGTCCATGCTTGAGTTTTTCAGCATCTTCAGAAGGATCTGGCTAATGAAGAACAGGAGCAAATTCCAGAAAAGCCCCTGACTGATGCTATCCAGTACTAGCCCTTCCTTATTATCAAAGGAGCTGTGTTTTTCACGTGAGTACCGCCATTTGCCACATAGTTACTGTTGTACCACATAGAAAGAAAGTCTGTCTTTTAGATATGCAAGAATCAAGCCATTTAGGTTATTACCACGGATTCTAATTTTCTCTAATAAAAAACCAAAAAAACAAAAACCCAATTTTCAGATTAAAAAAAGTAACCCAAAATCCATATTTTTCCATAATATATAAATATATATTATATACTTTTTAAAATCTGAAAATTGGGGATTTTTTTATCAGAAAAACCAGGATCCCTGGTCATTACAGGTTGAAATCAGTAACAATCTCTACCTGGAAGGAAACAGACAGCATATAAAT